GTCTTTTTCCGTGTCCGGCAACGGATCGCAACCCTCAGTGTTGCCCCCGTACCGGACCGGGGACCGGCAACGGGATCGCAACCCTCGGCGTCGCTCCCGCGCCTCGCTCAGCCAGTGAGCGGGAACCGGTCTGTATGTGGGATCCGAACCCTCGGGCGGGAGCACCGCCGTGCTTCCCAAGCAGCGCACTATCCAGTGCGCCACCGGGCCGGCCCCTTCTCAATCTTTTTCTAAGGAGTTTATCATATTGAAGTGAATGAAATGAAGCATACTGTTATTTGTGTAAGAAGTCTAAGCTTACATATAGATAAAAAGGATGCGGTTTTATTTAGTTAGTTAGCTATATAGAGATACAGTATAAAATCAGTTTTGCTTTTTCATCTGTTCGGTGTAGGATAGCCAGTGAGCTCCTTGTACTTATCTGTACTTGGTGTAACTGCACTTATACTTACTGGAATTGTGTTTTTAAGTTTGGCATTTGTTTATAATGGATTAGTCATAAGTGCAAAAAAGTCTCATCTTTACAAATGATTTAGTTGCCTTAATGTTATAAAAGTAATTATTGATTCTTTATTGGAGGCAGTAGAATTGATAGTCACCTAATAAAAGCAGTTGATTAATTTTTGTGTACCTTCACATAAAATATTACAATAATAAAAGAGAATATAGTATTTGGAGCATGATTTAAATTTAGCTCTGCCTAGAAATGTCTTCCTAAATATCTCTTTATCGCTATGTCATTCTTTAAATTATGAGATGGTTTTTAAGAGAGAAAATGGTGTAATTGTATTAAACAGCCAGTTATAACTCAAGGTAGTGTAATTTTGAACCTTCTTAAAAAAAAAAAGATTGGTTAGCAAAGCAATTGGCTATAAGATCAAAATACAAAGTAAACTGAATTTTTATAAACCACCGACAAGAAGAAAATAATTGTTTAAAAGACACCATTTGTAATACCAACAATTAATCTAAGAAGCTATACAAAGCCTTATGGAGAAAATTTTTTAATGTTTTTGAAACGACTTTCTTCAAAAGACCAGAGCATTCTGCCTTCTCATGGATTATTGTTAATTAAGTGTCAGGGCACCATATTAAAATACGTACATATGAGAGGGAACCTCAGAAAGTCTGTAGGAAAATAAAATTAAAAGATAATATGAATCTTCCCACAAACTTTTGAACACTCCTCATATATGCATGCATACATACGTACGTAAGTACATACGTATACGTGCCTGCACATGCCATATAGATAGGACTTTATGAAAGACTATTTTCTGCCCTGACCAGTGGGAGGGATTCTCAGATTCCATACACTACCCTCCCACCCCAGCCTGAAGCTAAGAGAACTCAGATCCTCTTCTCTAGAACTACCAAATCGGTGCTACATTTGATCTCTGTCAGTCCCAAGGTGGCACGATAGGAAGGGATTTGGCTTTTCCTTGGAGGCACAGTTTTTATCCCAGTAAGATCCAGTCAGGTTTCTCATATTTGGCTATTCTTTCTTCCTAGATCAATCACTTCTATCCGGAGTGAACTGATTCCGTACCTAGTGAGAAAACAGTTTTCCTCAGCTTCCTCACAACAGGGGCAAGAAGAAAAAGAGGAAGATCTAAAGAAAAAGGAGCCGAAGTCTTTAGGTTGGTGCTTGGGTTGGTGCAGTAAGAGGGGCAGGGGTAGCAGCACCTTTGGAGAATGTGGCTGGGCAGCTCAGCCCAACTCAAGATGCCTGTCTGAAGACAACAGACTCTTGTCTAACCTACAGGGCAAGATCAGTTGGTTAGCTGACCCCACTCCTTGGGCTCTGGATAAGCTTGCTCAGGCAGATCCTATCACTTTCTTTTCAGGGACAGGCTAATCAGGCCTCCAGCCCATTCTCTGGTTCATAGGTCTGTTTTGGCTATGTTCCTTTTATCTTTAAACTCACCCTGCCACTCTCAGTTCCCCTGTTCTCTAGGCTCTGGGCAGGCTCACTCCTGATTAAACCTCTTGTGACAGCCTCTTGTGTCAAGGGAAGGAAGGTGGAGGAGTGTACAATTATAGTCCAGCTAGAGGCCGACCAGACTGTCTGCATTCCAGGATCTGGAGATTAGATCTGTCTTGTTTGCTGTCATATCCCTAGTCTGTAGTCCAATCCTAGGCTCATAGTAGCTATTCTGAAAAAATGTTTTCAAATGAAAAAACAGAGGCAGTATATAGCTTGATGGTTAACATGGTAGGACTTGGCATCACAGAGACCGGGATTTGAAATCTGCCTCTGCCTCTTATTAGCTCTGTGACCTGAGGCAGGTTACTCAGTCTTCTGAGCCTCAGTTTTCTTATAAAATAAATGACCTCCAAACTGGGCAGCTGCAAAAAAAAAATATATATATATATATATATATAATATATATTTAAAATATATATATAAAAAAAAAATATATATATATATATATATATAATATATATTTAAAATATATATATAAAAAAAAAATATATATATATATATATATATAATATATATTTAAAATATATATATAAAAAAAAAATATATATATATATATATATATAATATATATTTAAAATATATATATAAAAAAAAAATATATATATATATATATATATAATATATATTTAAAATATATATATAAAAAAAAAATATATATATATATATATCAAAGGGTTGTTGTGAAAATTGAAAAACTGGAGCCCAGGTACTCTGGCACCAAGTTCTGTGTTCTTTCTGCCACAGTAGCTACCTGGTATGGTAATAGAGACTAGCAGCACAAAGCCGACATGGCTGGCTGGTCACTAAAGCCTGGACACTTGTTGGTATTATTTCATGATTTACAAGGGTCATCTATTTTATTTTCCCTAGTGGTATTTGATTATTTGTCAGACTTGCTTTTAGGACCTCCTATTAAGCAGTTTTATATCATACAATATTTTAAACGTACAAGAAAGCTCATTGCCTCTTTTAATTTGACATAGTCTTTCAGATTTTAGTGGGATTTTCCCAGGGCCCATACTTCATGGATGAGTTCCAGGGGGAGAGTGTGAGCTGCACCCTCTTTCAAAACTTGACTGAGTCTACATCCCCTCTGTCATATCTCTCTCATTTACTTGCTTGGTTTGGGTGTTTGTTCTGAAGATATTTACAGTTTTATAAAAGAAGCCAATACACTGACCTTGGCTCCCTATGATGCCTGCTGGAATGCCTGTCGAGGAGACAGGTGGGAAGACTTTTCCAAATCACAGGTGCGCTGCTATGTCTACATCATGAAAGAGGGACTCTGCTCTCGAGTGAACACACTGGGACTGTACATGGAAGCAAACAGACAGGTGAGAAGATGGGTTTAGAAGAGTAATCATGGGAGGTATTGCCCTAGCAATATAACGAGCCTTTTGTCTTATTTCTTCATTAGACACAAAGTAACTTGTTCAGAATCCCTCTCAATCCCAAAGTTGAGCAAGACCTGGCATGAGAGGGGAGATCATTGGGATAACCAGATGCAGCAAAAGGGGAAGTGGAGGGCCAGCCCGGTGGCTCACTGGAGAGTGCGCCGCTTGGGAGTGCGGCGGCGCTCCCGCCGAGGGTTCGGATCCCATGTGGTGACCGGTTCCCGCTCACTGGCTGAGTGTGGCGCGGGCACAACACTGAGGGTTGCGATCCCGTTACCAGCCAGTAAAAAAGACAAAAAGGAAAAAAAAAAAAGGGGGGAAGTGGAGGGCCTGGTCCATAGTGGCAGGGCCTCTGCGGCTCCAGGAAAGGCTAAGATCTCCAGGAAGGCTAACTACTGGCCTCTGAGTTCAGCAGCTTTCTTCTATTCTGTTCAGCATGGGATATCTACAGTAATTACTTCCTAAACAAGCAGATGAATACCTTGTAATCGTTACTTTGAAGAGGTAAACATAGGTACATAGAGGAGGCTTCCCTAAGAAGGTGAAGGAATATAGAGTGACCAGATGGCAAAGCCTCAGGGAAAGAATGTTTGTGGGAGAGAATTGTCTGGAAACAGCACTAGTGAGGAGTCTTGCTAACCCCTCCTTTTAACTCTACAGTTTGTGAGATACAGAGAATGAATAGCTTCCATTGCAGGGGAAGCAGTGCCCTCAAAGACTAGCCAGGACTTAGTAAAGGCAGGGGGTGGAGAGGAAAACAGTAAAGAGACTGAGGGTGTAGGGAAGCTCTTTATTGTGTAGTGGGCACAGGCAGAAGGTTTTAGGAGGGAGGGACCAGGAAAAGGAGGCAGAGCAGTAAAGGGTTGAGATGAGAATAGAAAAAGGTAGATAATGGAGGGAACTTCATTGGGGTGGCATTCAAGAATAACAGGGATGAGATAGAGTAATAAAAATATTAGCTGTTCATATTGTTCCTGGTAGAACTCTATGAAAATTGTCTTTGCAGGTGCAGACTGGGGTGGGGGGTGGGATGGGGGAGGTGGGGGTAGAGTGATATAAAAGATATTCTTGAAAATTGGGATCGAGTCCCTGAAGAAAACCTGGCTCTGGAATCTTCAGGACCCACACCATATTGGGTATAGCCTCAGCTCCAAACATCAAGCTAGCTGGCCTTAACCTGGATTGGTTATAGATCCAAGAAAATCCCAAACCAGAGACCTTATGAGAAATCACAGCTAGTACCAAGTTTACTGATGACTAGAGTCTGTCAGGCTGACCTGGAAGCAGGTTGATAGATAGCCTGAGGCTGGAGAAGTATCCTCTGAAGTACTAGCAGGGACTGTGCAGCAGACAGGCCTAAAAGGCCTTGGCTGAAATGTTACAGAAGAGATCCCAGGGCTAGGGGCTAGGGGATTAGCCTTCACATGCCAGTGCAGCCAGTGCTGACAAGGCCTCCCTTGGCTAATGTGGCCACCACACAGTGCTCTAACCAGCATTCTGGCTATGCTGGAGAATAACAGACAGGCACACTATCTGTGTCTTCCTAATGCGTTGGTAACCAACCCCCACCCCCACCACCAATACCCCTAACCTTTTCAGTTTTCTTGTACTGGAGAGAGAATAGTGTGAACTTCCCCTTCACATTTGCTTTTGGCTAGTGAAGAACATAATGACTTCTTAGAGTCTGTCTTGATTGTAAAATTTGTCTAACATTGCTCCTATCCTCACCTCATGCATGGCCACAGTGGTCCAGGAGGTGAGCAGGAACCTAGGATGACTATGACCAGGACTTGGGGTGTTCCTGGCCCTCATCAGGCCTCCTTTACCAAGAAGTGCTGTACAGGTATCTCAATAGCTTGTCTCACTGCCTCCCAGCTGAGGGACATGGCATCACTTTCAGGGAAGAGTACTCTCATCTAAGAAACTGAGGATAAAACTATCTAGAAACTACCAC